TGGGGGACAGCCCTAGAGAATGCCTAAGGCCCAGAGTGGAGGGTCCTGTTCACGGCACAGCCAGGAGGGTGGATTCACTGGGTCAAAGAGCCCACATTGGGGAGTGAGGTATAGGAAGACTGGAAAGGTAGGAGGACACAGGCCTTGAAGGCCAGAGGATTCTGTATGTGCTCCCGGAGGCCATAGAGAGCCACTGGAGGGGATTGGATAGGGAAAGGGCTCACATGGTCAGACTGGGGCTTGAGGAAGATCACTTTAAAATATACTGGAGCGGGGGAGACACCTGAGGCAGCCCCCCCACCCCCCCACCCCCAGCAATGTTGGATGAGCAAGGGCGAGCAGTTAATGAACTTTGATGCTGCTGTTCAGGGCTCAGTCCCCTAGGACCAGGCTCTCCTGAGTCATTTGTAAACACCCACCACCCACTCCACAGCTCAGCCCTGAAGTGGGACCCTGCAAAGGTGCAGGGGTGATAAATACAACCCAAATACATGGCCATGTCTTGGAGCGATTTCTTCCGGCCAGGAACATTGAAGGAAGAAAGGCCACTGACACTCCATGATCATGAAATGGTGCAGAAGGCCAGGCAAGTCTCTTCACTGTGGGGTAACTGCCCTTCTCTGTCCTGGGGGAATCAAGGCCAGTGAAGATAAGGCTATTACAAGACCAGCACTGGCTACATTAATGGGGAGAGATGTCGGGCAGAGGCTAAGGGCAAACTTAGGGATTTGGGGCCGACTGATGTCCTTAATGTCTCCCCAAATCATGGGATGTGCCTTCCCCTTGTGGAACACAGGAGATAGATTTATTTCTCTATCATTTTGTGTTTTTTACTAATAACCTAGCTGTGCTCCCAAACTAGATGAGGCAGGCACTATAGGTACTCTTATCTCCATCTAATAAATGAAGAAATTGAGGCAGACAGAAGTTAAATGACTTGTTCAGGGTCAGGGTCAGTGTCATAGGCTGGAGTTGAACCCAGATCTTTTTAAAGATCTATTCTCATTGTATGAGGAGAGATTGAAGGAAGTAGACATGCATAACCTGAAGAACATTTAGCTTTGAGGAGAAAGACTGGACAGGGGATAACAGTTTTCTTCTATTATTGGAAGGGAGACTGGACTAGCTTTAGTTGGCCCCAGAAGACAAGACAAGGAATGGTGAAAGGAAGTTCTGAAGAGTCTACATTAGATTGGAATCAGCCAGTCAGTCAACAATCATTTACAGGTCGGAGCCATCCAAAAGAGACATGGGTTACCCCAGGAGCTGGGGGACTCCTGGCTCGCTGGAGGTCTTCTAGCCAAAGCTGAATGGCCACTTACTGGCTACATTGAAGAGGGAATTCTCCTTCAGGGACAGCTTGGATGAGATGCTCACTAAGGTTCTGTCCACCTCTGAGAAAGCCAGACTTTCTAAACTGTAACAGAGGCCAGAAACCCTGGCACAAAGAGCCACAAAACATCACAGTTGGGCGGGCTGGGAAAATCCATCAAATCCAATCCTCTCGTCTTTCAGAGGAGAGAAGGAAAGTTATGCAGCCAGTAAGCAGCCAGCCAAGATTTGAACTCACATCTTCTGAATCCAAGCTTCTTAGCCTTTTAAAAAAATATTATTACAGAACACATTTTGATGAGATATCTTGAAGGCAGATGTTTGATGCCTACCTTCCAATGACACTTCCAATAAATCAATTCTAGCCTGGCGTTCTCTGTGGTCTCAGAGGAAAACTCAGTTCCCATGTTCTCACCCAAGAGCCCAAACACCTCAAGTTTCAGAGAGTGTATCCATCCATCCATCCATCCATCCATCCATCCATCCATCCACCCAACCACCCACCCATCCATCCATCCATCCATCCATCCATCCATCCATCCACCCACCCACCCATCCACCCATCCATCCATCCATCCATCCATCCATCCCCATCCATCCATCCATCCATCCATCCATTCCCCTTCAGACAATGGTTATAATCAAGGTGCCAGGATCTGCAACCTGGTGTTCAGAGCTCAAGGGGATACCAGGGCCCCACAGCTCAGGGCTCTTTCTGCCTCAGGCTCAGAGGTCAATGAACTACAGGTGCTGGCCCCAGGGATGAAACCTCTAGGAGACACTTGACAGTTCTTGGTCTAATGTAAATAATAGTAAAGGAACAGAGGGAGCTAGGACTGGTTGTCTTGGTAACTTCCAATCCAGTAAGATGCAGACTGCTGGTTCTTCATATGGGAAGACAGATGGGTCCCACAGCAGAGGCTTAAAGTGACATTGAAGTAACCCAAAGAACCCTGCCATCTCTGAGCTGGAAGGGGTTGGGGAGGGAAAGAGAGCAAGAGGAGAGGGGAAGGGAGGGGAGGGGAAGAAGAAGAAGGGAGAGGGAGGGGAAGGGAAGGGAGGGGGGAGGAGAGGGGAGAAGAGGGGGAGAGGGAGGCAGAGAGGAGAGAGAGAGAGAGAGAGAGAGAGAGAGAGACACAGATGTAACCTAGTGGGAAAAGCAGTGGACACACAAGGAGTGAGGAAGACCTGAGTTCCTATTCTGTCTCAGACACAGCACAGTGACTGGCATCTAATAAATGTTTAATAAATGCTAGCTGACTAGCTGACAACCTCTCTCGGCCTCAGTTGCCTCTTCTATAAAGTGGGGAGAATAAAAGCACCTACCTCCCAGGGTTGTTGTAAGGACGGACAGGTGATAAGTGTATATACATGGTGCTTTGTAAACCTTATAATGCTATAAATGTTAGTTATGATTATCTGATCCAACCTGAGCGGCTTTTGGCTGATCACCAGCCTTTCTGGGCCTCAGTTTCCTATCTATAAAATGAGTGGATTAGAATAGCTGGCCTCTCAGGCTGCTGCTGGCACTAACTCTTTGGCCCTGTGATCCCTTCCCATGATTCTCTGGACTAAGCCATTTCTTCCAAGGGTCTGCTGCTGCTGCCCTCACTTCACAATGGTGGAATATGCCTGAAGCCTGGTATCTGAGGTAGTCAGCCAGGATGTTGGTTGGGAAGAAGGCAGTGGCCAGATGTGAATCCCCGAGGAATCTGAAGCCTATTTGCTGAGGTTCAAAGAGTGCTTGACCCCCTCTCTGTCCCCCTCCCCATATAGGTGCTCCTGTTTGTCCAAAGCTTTTCTACATTGAAGCATTTTTCATCAGTCAAAGTGCTTCTACACATCCTCTGGCTTGGCACAACCCTAGGAGACAGGCAGCATGGACTATGGCTCCATTTTACAGATGAGAAAAGTGAGAGAGTCTCAGGGCAGTGAGATTTGGTTGAGACCTCAGAGCTCCTGGCCTGACCCATCCCAGACATCTGGAGTTCTGAGGGCTTCCTTCCCTTTGCCTCCGCAGATGAAGCCCAGGAGTTTTTGTGTTCAGGGAGGATTCATGACCTGGGTGCAGAGAGGAGAGGTGCTTTGGTGTCTGGACTCATGCCCCTAACTGGAGCAGGAAGAGCTTCGGCCCTCTTTCTCTCCCTGTCCAGCACCCACCCACCTTTTCCTTGTTCAACAGTCTCCCCTGAGAGAAGAATTTCCAGTAAACTCTTGATGCAGGGACACAACCCTGAGAGCTGATCACTTGTACTAGTGCCTGAATGAGAACCTTCTCCCTTCACCCACACCCTCCCCCACAAAGGGCCTGGCACCTGGCAAACAGCATGTACTTAAAACCTGCCTGTCAATTGATCGGGCCTGGAGCCTCTACCAAGAGACCTCTGGGAAGAGGCCGGGCCTCTGAGCGCTCCATTTGGACCCAGTTCTGTCCTCCCTTCCACATAAATCTCTTCAGAAATGAGACAGGCTTTGATATAAACCAATGCCACTTTAATGTAAAAAACAAAGCTCCTATTGGCGCATAAATATGACAGGGCATAAATAAAGTAAGAAAAACAAAGGGCTGAGCCTGGGACAATAACTTACTTATAAATAGCACATGGGGCAGCTAAGTGCTGGGCAGAGGAGGCGTGAGATTGCCCAGGAGGACCCAATCACAAGGAGTGGCAGTCTGCTCTGGGGAGGGGACAGGGTACCCACGGAAGGCATCCCCAAGCTGGCCTTGGATTGTTCACAGCTCCTGTCCCCCCTCTACCACCGACAGAAGAAGAAGAGGAGGAACAAGAGGAAGAAGAGGAGGAGGAGGAAAAGGAAGAAAAGGAGGAAGAGGAGGGGGAGCAGCCAGCCTGCATGAAGGGAGCCCAAAGCATACTGCCATGGGAGGGGAGAGACCTCTGGGGGCTCCACCTCGGGGCCTGCTGTTTGCTGCTTCTTGGGACCTCCCTCCAGACATGTGTCTGAGAGTCCCCCGGACGACTTGGGCCAACAAGCTGCCCTTGTGCTCCCTCCTATCTCTTTCTGTTTCAAGCTGTGTTTACACTGAAAAGACAGGCAGTCATCAAGCTGGGGGTGACAAGGTCATTTCATTTCTTCCTATCAAGTGAGGTAAGCCAGGTTGAAAGAGGGAATTAGCAGGGGGCAGGGAGGGGCTAACAGCCTTATCTCTGGGGCAATCTGATGCTCAGTAGGCTGGAGAGAGAGGTCATTCACCCAGGTCCTGGTGTGAGGAGGAGGAAGAGGAGGAAACAGAGGACGAGGACCCGAGGAGGTGGGGGTGGGGACTCTTCCAGTCTGCAGCAGCCCCGTCCTAGGTCACCCCCAGCTGAAGGAGCCTGAAGGCTTGGTTCTAGGGGTGACTCTAAGCCTTGGCTCCATTCCAAAATGTATCTGAGGTTGGTCACGTCCACCCTTCCAGCTCCCAGAATCACTGATTCACAGCAGAAAAGAGTCTTTCCTGCACCCCATGGAAGGTGACCCTGCCCAAATAAGAGGTCCTGTGGGCATGGGGCTCGGCAGATGCTCAATATCTTACACATGTACCATCTCGAGATGCTTTACGTATTTACAAAGCTATGTCACTCTCTCCGGGGATGTCTTCATCCTTCAAGACACCCCTGCAGCCCATCTGCTCCATGTGGACAAGAGAAAGGGATGGTGGGCTTGGTTTCCAAATCCTGGCAGGGGCTTCACTTATTTCTGGAAGCTGGGGCTCTTTATAGGTGAGAGTTTGGAGGCGAGGCCAAAGGGGTCCATGCTGTCCATTTCTAGGGGCGAGGAAAACATCTCAGGGTCAAAGGCATCTCTGTGGCCCCCAGACTCCTCAGCCTCCAGAGGTACGGAGCTGATCATGGGCAAGAAATGAGACAGAGGCAGGAAGTCCTTGCCTTGGAACAGCTGCCTCTGCCTGTCGCTGCAGAGGGAGACAGGGAGGCCGTATTTCTGGGACTGGTACACATTGTAGCCATCAGGGCGAATCTGCTCCTCAAAGGTACAGTCTTCAGCAGAGAACCTCACCTAGACAGAGATACAAACCTATTAGAACCTCCTCTGTTATACTGGTGACCTCAGAGCAGGCAAGGGAACCTAGGACAGTGAGGACCATCACCATCGGCAAAAGCTGACTGGAGACTCCCATGAACCCACTCGAGGTAGGCACTTCAGGTCTAATTATCCGAATTTAGCAAATGAGGAAACTGGGGGGGGGGAAGACATTTGTCCAGAGTCATACAGATTTGTCAATGCCAGAGGATCTGGGTTCAAATCTTACTTCTGCTCCTTACTAGGTGGAGGGTGTGGGAGGGTGTCTCCCTGTAGGTATAGGACTGAGTTCAAATCCTGTCTCAGACACTTACTTAGCTGTGTGGCTCTGGACAAGTCACTTAACTGTTGTCTGCCTCAGTTTCTTCAACTGTAGAAAGAGGATCATAATAGCATCTACCCCCCAGCATTGTTGTGAGAGTCGATGGAGACAACATGCATAAAGCGCTTAGCACGGTGTCTGGCATTTATTAGCTCTATCCATCTTCCCCTCCTTGAAACTAAGGGTATAGAGTCTCGAGAAGATAATAGTGGAACGAATGTCTGCCTCAGGGAGGCCTTCCAATTGGCTTTGATGATCTATATGCTTGGTCCAGGAAGCCAGAACTCAAGACAAGGAATGGTGGGTACAACAACCAAGAGGCCAAGTTAATCTAGGCAAGGAAGAGCTTGCTTCCCTAAAGGGGCCTGGGCCGCCCCAGGAAATGGCTTCCTTCCTCGGTCCTGAGGATCTCCAAGCTGAGGATAGTGTTTGCATGTTAGCCCTCTCACTGGGAGTGGAGGGTCCTCATCCAGGTCCAGGGGAGTGAGACAAGGTGGGCTCTGAGGCTCCTTCCAGCTCAGAGACTGAGAAAGAAGGTGGTGGAGAATCCCTCAAAGGCAGACGGGAAAGGAACCTTACTGTCCATTGAGTCCAGACCCTCATTTTAGTCAATAAGAATATAGCAAGCACTTACTAAGTGCTGAGGATACTGAGCTTGTGTGTGCGCTTGCAATAACACACACACACACACACACACACACACACACACACACACACACACACGGGAAACCCAAGACCAGAGGGAGAAAGGGATTGGCCCGAATTTACCCAGCTAGGAAGGGAGGGGGCAAGGCAGGATTTGAATTCAAGACTTCTATTTCTAAGCTGGTGAGGTTTTTAAACAATATCACTATAGACCACCACATCCGGGATTCCTTTCTAGAGATAGATGTTTGCTGCCCGTGCTTCATTTACATTTCCGATGTTAATTAGTCGGGTTATCTGCAAGGATCTGGTAGTCTCAGTCCTCATGATTCTGCCCACGAGTCCAAACATTTCCCATCTCCGTGAAAGAGCCCCCCCCCCCGACAATGTTCATAACTAAGGTGCTGGGCTCAACAACCTGGTGTTCAGAGCTCAGGGGCCACCAGGGCCCCGAAGCTCAGGGCTCTCGATGACTCCAGCTCAGGGGTCAATGCACTATGGGTGATGGCTCCTGGTGAACTCTTCTAACCTGTAATAAAGCTACCCGGAGATGCTTGACAGCTCTTGGTCAAATGCAAACGCTAGCTAAGTGGACCGGCCGGTTATTCCATCCTATAGTCAATCATTTCTAAAATGGAAAACCAGAGAGAAACTTGGAAGTGAAGCCTCAAACTCAGCCAATCTCCGAAGCTGGGGTGGAGGGGACTTGGGAGGCCTCTGCGCTTGCCATGCCTCCCTGCCATCCCTGACAAGCCTCTGCTGACTGAGCCCTCCCAGGGCAGCTGGTTCTTTCTGAATGGCTTGAACGATTACCTCAGTGTCTCAGTTCCCTGGGAGCCCCCTTTGGGCTCTTCTCTCCAGAGCCATAGGCAGGAAGGCACGTTAGGAAGGGCTCTGATGGCCCTGGTTCCGTCTGTCAGCAGCAGTCATCAAATGGTTATCTGGCTCAGGATTCCAAGTGATTGGGGACTGGGAAGGGGCTTTTCAATCTTATTTATCTTCCCACATCTAGCATTTCAAAAAAAAACTAACTGTCTGGAAGATTAGTGGGAAATTAATTCTCAAAATAAACCCCATTCACTTCAACTAATATAACTGAGTTTAACAACCATTTAATGGTTTTAAAATCAATGGTTTCAATTGGAAATGTTGGGATGTAGAATGCTATCTACAGAGAACAGCCAGCTGGCCCCATCGTGCCCATCACATTCTCCAGGAAAGGGAGTTTCTTGCTAAGCCCCGTTGGCCACTCTAGAACGTCAGCCTCGAAGATGGAAGGGGTCTCACAGAGGAGCCAAGTCCAGCCCATATCTGGTCAGGAATCTCATTTCCTGGGCAGGCGTCAGCCAACCTTGCCTTGAAGACCACCAGGTAGTCTGGCTCCCACTGTGGCCTTGGCTGGGTAGGAAGCCCTGCCTTCCATGGAGCTGAAATCCCCCTCTGGGCCCCACTGCTCTCCCTCTCCAGGCTCCTGGCCTTGCCCTGGAAGCCAAACCGAGGAAGGCTAATCCCTCTTCTGGAATGCCCCTCCAGATCCATTAGGGCAGATGTCTACCCTCCTTGGCCTCCTCCTTCATATTAGGCAGAGTGGGAAAAGGCTTTTCATGATGATCACCTGATGCATGGTTGGGGCACAGATGACCAGAAAGACCAGCAGGGCCCTTGGATCTGCCACTTTAAGTAAGTGCCCCAATAGGAAAAATAGCCACAATGCCTTTAGGGCCCCCACCCCCCAGGTGCCAAATCTTTCCTTGGGGCCCCCTCCTCCTTTCTTCACTCTCTACTAGCCCTCCCCTCCCCTTCAAGTATTTAACTAATAAAGGTCACAAAGGGCTTTGACATCAATGGCTCACATCCACAAAACAAGCTGGGGACCCACATCAAAAGGCCTGAGCTGGGGTCATGAAGCATCCTGGGTAGAAGCTAATCAAAGCTGGGCTCTCCCTGCATCATCCTAGCAGGCAATGGATCTGGGCTATTCCCAGGTCTTTGGAAGCACAAGGGGTGGGGGTGGGCATTCACAGCAGGGCCGGAGGGTACCGGGGCCCCTGACCAGTCCTCCTTGGACCACCCTTCTCAGACCTCCCACAGCCAACAGCCATCGATGACCCCAGAAAGACAGAGGGGTTTATGGTGGGTCCCTTTGAACTCCTTGCCTTTGTTGGCAGCTAATTAGGAAAGCAGCAAGCTCTGATTTTCCATGGGCCTAGCTCCTTTTCGGTGGGGGCAAGCTCTCCCACTAGGCCTGAGCTGAACAGTAATAGGGGAGCAGTAGGATGTCTGGCTGACAGGCCTGGAGTGTTTATTATTCTAAGATGAAGAGACCAGCTTGGTGAGACTGGGGGCCAACCTCTGGAAGCCCAGGCTTCTCGGGACATAAGAAATGACTAAATCTTTGAAAAACTATCCTGACAATTTGCAAGAGGCAGGATTTAAAATAGGGGAACTGGGTGAATATAGAGCAATGGTGACATAATTAACCCTCCCTTTTTGCAGTAAAGATGGGGAAGTGCTTTACATAATAATAGCTAACATTCAGGCCACTTCTTTGAAGTCTTAAAATCACTTTACAGTGATCTTGGGGACTCACAGCAATTCAATAAAGAAGGTGCTATTCTCCACTCCCCCACCCCCATTTTACCCAAGAGGAAACAGAAACCCTGAGAGACTGAGACTAGTCTGGGGTCACACAGCTATCCCCCATTTCCCAGTAGTCACTCTCCAACTAGCACGTGAGCCCCTCCGGGGCAGGGCAGGGTTGGATTTCTGTGGGTCCCCTCAGCTCTCAGAACAATGTCTGGGGCAGAGCAAGCCTCTTAATAAAGGTGGTGGGCCAACGGACAGCTCCAGCACTCTGGCTTCCTCGGTCTTGCGGCTTCTACCAATAAGCTCATTGACACCCTAAACAGTGCTGAGAGGTAGGTGCTAGCATCCATCACCCCATTTTATAGGCAAAGAAATGGAAGCTCGGAAAGGGAGAGTGACTTGAAAACCAACCAGCTAGGAATAGGCTCAGAGGTGTCGGGACAGGTCTTCTACTTCTGCTTTTATTAAAAAATGCAGAAAAGTTGGGCTCCAGCATTGACCCCCAAGGTTCTCCAGTGGGACTTCCCAGGTATGCTTAGAGGAAGCACTTAGCCAATTTTCAAGAAGATTTAAAGCAGCAGAAGAACCTTTTCAGGGCATTTCTGTGGCTTGCCCAGAAAATAAAAGCACCTCTTTTATTATTATTTGTAAAGGTTCCTTTCTGGCAGCTTGCGCACACAGTCACTTCTCGCTTCCCGGTCCAAATGTCAAAGCGCCTGCACAAAGCGAATCTCGCCGGGCTCTAGATCTTTCCTCGCTTTTCTGCCCTGGATAGGGAGCTGAAGCTCAGCCCTTGGCTGGTTAGGCGCGGGTCAGTCAAAGGAACAGGAGCTACTGCTTTCTCAGGTCTCGACTCCTCAGCTTCTCAGTACCCTGGGAAGTAGCGTCTGAGAGCTTTCTCTTTTTCCACACTAGCAGCCAGCAGTCCCCTCCCCCTGGAGCCCTCCAGGCTGCAGTCTGGGACCCCGGGGCTCCCCAGCCCCTCGAGTATCTCCAGAAGTGCCAGGCTCCGGCTTCTTAACACAAAGAAGCCACACTCCTCCTCCAGCTGAGTTCCAAAGCTAGCCAAGAATTTGACATCCTTAATCCCATTAGAGCCTCCCAGAGTCTCCAGGTAGGTATCACCATTTTGCAGCCGAGAAACTGAGGCTCAGAGTGGTTTAGTAATTTGGAGCCCAGGGTCACACAGAGGTAAACATCGATACTTTTTTTAAGCCCGGAAAACTAGCAGAGGTGAGCGAATAGCCCTATCCCCCGTAATTGGGCTGGAAAATTGATTTACCGATCCCTGGAGCTTCCCCGCGTCTCCCATACACAGGTACCGAGAGCTGTGGACACCCTTGATAGCCACGGTCCGAAGAGCTACAGCCTTGATCTCCAGCAAACCTGAGTGAAAAGGAGACAGGTGAGGAGCGAAGAGGTGCCTCGACGGCGAGCCCGAACATCGCTCAGAAGCAGAGTGAGGCTAAGCCCCTGCGCTGCACCTCCGAGCAACCTCAACTTTGGGCTCCCAAGGGTCAAAGTATTTGCGTGGTGGCGCGGAGTGACTCCGCGAAAATGGCTAGAAGGCAGGGTTACCCTCGCCCAGAGGGACTGAGGAACGTGCAGCAGGACTGGGAGCAGCCCTTTTCTGTCCGCTGCTAGGTGCTGCCTGTCCAGCCAGAGGATCCGGGGCAGAAAGCCCGCCAGTCTGCTGGGGTGAGCCTGGACCAGCGCCGGGCGACAGAGGCACCCCGGGGGCCTTTCGTCTGGAGGGGTGGGGAGGGAGGGAGGGTGTGTAGTTCCAGAGGAGAGCTGGCAAGAACATTACAGCGTGTACACAGATGTACAAGCCCACACGCAGGCACATACACGCATATACACCCTGTTGGGTTCATTTCTACCCTTCACCAACTTACTCAGTGCGCTCTGACTCCGGCTGCCATCCACGCGGCCGTCGCGGTGGATCCGAAGGAATAAGAAGCCGGCCAGCCCATGCCTGTTGGCGGTGTAGAGGTGCCGCAGGCGAATGGGCTCTCCCCAGCCGTAGTAGACGTGCGGGCCCGCGTCCAACAGCGGCCGGGCACGCACCGTCGGGGCCAGACAGAGCGCGGCCAGGGTCAGCAGAGGGGTCATCAGCAGGGCCATGGCGCAGCCGGCCGTTGGTCTGTCCTAGAGCTGCTTCTCTCCAAGCGGCCGCTCTTGCACACGGAGTGGTGGGCAAGAAGGCGCAGAGGCAGCCAAAAGGGCACTGGCAGTCAAGTGGCCAGGCGATTCCCGACGGGCTGACGAAGCACTAGGGAGCCAAGGCGCTGGGATGGGGAGGAAGGAGAGGACCCAGTGGCTGCAGGTGCCCAAGCCTTTTATAGGGCTCCTTATCTGCCCTCTGATGAGGTTTCTGCAGATAGCTGGAGTATTTTATACCAGGGTCAAATCTCTGGGGGTCAGTCCACACCCAAACCCACGGGCGAATTCTCACACACACAACCGCCCCGCCCCCCACCCCACCGCCCACGCGCGGGTACTGTCCTTCCTCCCTTCTGCCCCCCTCCAAGTCCTTTGGGCCCCGCCCCTAGACGGCACTAGGATTGGGGAGGGGCGGAGAGGAAGCTAGGAAGGAAGGAGGGAGAGCTGCGGAAGAGAGGGAACGGGAGGTAAGGAGAGAAAGAAAAGGAGGAAAGGAGATAAAGGAGCTAAGGAATGGCTAAGGGAAGGAGAGAAGGAAGAAAAGAAATGAGGGAAGGAGGAAAGGAAGGAGAAAGGAGGGGGGAAGGGAGGGAGAAGGCAAAGGAGAGAAAGAAGGAGAGAGGGAGAAAAGGAGAGAAAGAAGGAAGGCTGGTTGGGTAGCTGGCCCCTGGAGGCCCAGTTCTGGGTAACAAAGAGTCTGCGTGCAGGGAGAAGAGAACTTTGTGGGAAGAGTGGGTGCACAGACATGGAGAGGAAGCAGGCTGCCAGTTCAGTCCCCACCGGTTGGGGAGCTGAAATCCAGAGAAAGAAGGGACTCTGCCCTCTCCTCAGTCCCTCCTTCCCCCCACACCTCCTAACTCATGCAGCGCCTTTTCTCTACCCCCCTGGTGGACCACAACAAAGGAAAGCTGGCCAGGCGCAAGTCGGCTAGAGGAGATGGGGCTGACCTTGCTGCCAATCCCAAGGAGCTAGGACTGAGAGGAATGGTCTGGCTTTGCATCTTGAGCAAGGGCCTTTCCCTCTGGCCATCCACCCATCTGTACACTGAAGGTCTCCAAGGGGCCTCCCATTGCTGACTTTCTAGCCTCCAGCTTCATAGAGTCTTGGGCTTCTCCTGGCAACCTGCTTTTGCAGAGTTTCCCCCAACGACTCAGTTAAGCTGAGGGGGACTCCTTGAAACCAAGGAGAGGCAGAAAAGGGGAGAGAGTCAGGGAAGAATAGGAAACCTCAATGCCAAGGGGCAGCTAGGTGGCACAGTGGATAGAGCACCAGCCCTGGATTCAGGAGGACCTCAGTTCAAATCTGGACTCAGACACATAACACTTACTAGCTGTGTGACCCTGGGCAAGTCACTTAACCCCTTTGCCTATCCTAAAAAAAAAAAAAAGTCAGTGCCAGACTGGACAGTCCTGTCTTGGAATCTCAGCACTTACTAGTAGTAGGTGCCACCTTGGACAAGTCACACAATATCTCTGAGCCCCAACTATCCCTCTACAAAATAGGATCAATGATACCTGCCCTGTGAAGACCTTGTGAGCAGCCATATTTGGAAAGCGTTTATTAAGCACTTACTCTGTGTCCAAAACTTGCCAAAGGATAGCCGTTATTGGTAATAGGACCTTCTCCGACTATAGTGTCTCCCTCCCCGGCCTGGCAGCCCCCCCCCTCCTCCCCCCAGGCACAAGCTAAGCTCTGACCCACCCCCATCTAGGAGGCTGATAAAAAGTTGACTGAGGGAAGCTAGGGAGTCCCTTCCCATTCCCATGCTTGGCAGGCTGCCCTCCCAGACCGCTTTCCTCCTAAGAAGCTTCCTGGGTATCTTTCTCCCTCTCTCCTGTCTTGCCTTTTCTTTGGCTCACAGTGTAGCCTCTTTGGATGTCTGAGGAGAGACTACTCTCCCCTTTTCCTCCCTCCAAACCCTAGTTCCAGCCTAATCCTCCTGGAACAATGGTAGCCACTAGATGGCGCGTCGAACTCAAATTGGGGCTGCTCTGTCCCCAGCGGGCAGCCTGGATCCTGAGACTCCGTCCTCTTTCTGGCAGCCCCAGACTCTCCCAGCTGGACGGGATTGCAGGGACATGCAGTTCAATACGCATCTGGTCAAGTATCTCCTGGGTTCCCTGCCCCAAGAGTGCCCATCAGCCTCTGCCTCCATGCCCTCAATCTACCCCCGGGGAGACAGGCAACAGCCTCCCCAGGCACTGGACCACAGACCTTCCAACCCTTCTCAACTCCTTTCCAGGAAGATTTTTGAAAAATCTATTAGCTAAAACATTTGTAAAATCTCGGTCTATTTGCTCCTGGGCTACTTGCTGCCCTTGAAAATGAGGATAACTACCTGCCAGGAAGGACACTGGGTTCTAGGCCTCATGAAGAGGAGAAATTATGAGGTCAGACCTGGAAGAGGCTTCGTTCCATTTCCAGTCCCCCATGCTCTCCTAGTCTTCAGTTTCATCAAAGCTTAGTTCAAACACTGCCTCCTTCACAGGTGTTTCATGGCAACTCCCATGATGCTAATACCCTCCTCTGGAAATTCATTGTAACTGTCTCCTTTATAAGGGTACCTAGGTGGCTCAGTGAATAGAGCAGTGGGCCGGAGTCAGGAAGACTCACCTTCTAAAGGTTAAGCCTGGACTCAGACACTTACTAGCTATGTGACCCTGGGCAAATCATTCAACTTTGTTTGCCTCAGTTTCCTTATCTGTAAGATGAGCTGGAGAAGGAAATGGCAAACCACTCTAGTATCTTTGCTAAGAAAATCCCAAATTGGGTTACAAAGAGTTGGACGTGACTGAACAAAATCTTAACATTTTCAGTTACATATTGTTTTCTCCAATATAATATAAGCTTCTTGAGGACAGGGACTGTGATTTTTTTCTTTGAATCTCCAGCACAGTATCAAACACATAGTAGGCACTTATTACAGGTTTATTGAATGAATGAAGGGACATTAGAGCTCATTGAAACCAACCTCTTTGATGAAGAGGTAGAGAAAGGATTTAAGATATTAGGCTCATAGAATGATGGTGGGGAATGGGACCTTTGAAGCCAACTGTTTCAAACACCTCATTTTATTGATTGGGAAACTGAGGCCAGAGGCTGAGTAACTTGTCCAAGATGGCATAGACTCAGTGGCAAAACCAGCACAAGAACCCAGGTCTTTTGACTTGTAGCTTACCCCCTGCACCATGAGACGGGAAGCCAGGGAAAATGTAAATAACTTAACTCTGACCTGCACATCAGGTTGGGGGGTCTGAGCTTGTGTCCCTGTACCTCTGGCATAGATCTGTACCTCTCCTTTGTCCAATAGGAATTGATGGATCCCAGGTGAATAGAAATAAAGTCATTATCATTCTTAAAGGACCATTTCCCCATGCACTCTTGAAGGCTAACATTAGTAAGATTCACAATGTGTATTTCCCCAAACTGCCTTGTGAGGTAGGTAAGCATAAGTGTATTCTCATAGATTTCAAGCTGGCAGGGACCTCAAAGGTAATCTGGTCCAATCCTTTCATTAACAATGAAGAAACTGAGGTCAGAATGGTCAAGTGACTTGCCTTGAGTCACACAGGTAGTCGGTAGCAGACAAGATTCAAGAGGACTCATGCAGGTATGATCACATCTAGTCACACAACCCTTCTTGGCTTTTGTTGGTATCTTTTGTTGCTATTCTGAAGGTCTGGGAAATTTCCTTTAAAAATATTTTTTATTCTGAACTTCACAAATGTCAAATGAAATGGACATTTCCATGTATTTTGTACAACAGGATAAAAAAAACAGGATTGTTGATGAAATGGCTTTTCTTTGAAAGTACAGAATACATTTTTGATATTGTTTTCAAAACTGTCTTGCTGGTCTGGGCTTCTTTCTGGTCACCTTTCTGTTGTCTTCCTTCCTATCTCTTTCCTCCTTTCCTCTCCCACTCCCATTGGAAAAATAAAGCCCTTGTAACATACATGCCATCAAGCAAAGCCATTTCCCACATTAGCTGTGCCTGCAAAGGTTTGTCTTGTTCCGCTTCCCTTCTCTGCAAAGAGGGAAGCATCAAGCTTTGTGCGGCAGTCCTCCGGAATGGTGGGTGGTCATTGCATTGGTCAGAGTTCTCAAGTCTTCCCAAGTTCTTTTCCTTATAATGACATGGGTACAGGACCGCCCAGCGCAGCATGACCGAATCGGAGAAGGTGCTGTGCTCTGTGAGCAAAGCAGAATTGCGGTAGCTCGAAAGAAACATGAGATGCCCAGATCTAGGGCCATCTCTACTCCAAATGTTCATACTGACTATTTGTGCCTGATTAAGCTCACATTGGTCTGAGCAACCACAGTCAGACACACTATACCTTGGCCTCAACATAGTGATGTCATTCTGGTCTTCCGACTGTGAAGGACAACAACCGGTCCTTATAATGCTGTTAGTATACCCATTATTCTCCTGGTTCTGCTCACTTTACTCAGAAGCTGTTTATACAGGTCTAGCCAGATTTCTCTGAAACTGTCCTTTTGATCATTTCTTATAAAATGGTATTATTCAGTTATATTCATATACCATTACTTGACCAGACATTCTCCAATAAACAAACACATCTCTGGTTTCAGTTTTTCATCACCCCTAAAAGAGCTGCTGTTGACATTTTTGTACATAGGGGTCTTTTTCCTCTTTCTTTGGTCTCTTTGGGGATATAGACATAGGTGTGTCATCGAATTAAAGGGTATGAGCAGTTCAAACCTTCACAGGCAATCTCAGAGATGGCTCTGAAACGTTATGAATGGAGAATAGCCAGGAGAGTCTGCCTTCCAACATGGCTGTCCAATTGAGTGAGTACCTGTCACCTATCCTACCTATCAGCAGACAGGCCAGATTAAAGTAGTCCTGACCACGTGGGGCCTCCCAGAAGTTGTGCCCATTTTTCCTTCTAGCCAATTCCCAAAGGCATAAAATTGGGTTTCCAGAATCGAAGGCAAAG